GGGTGGATGTGGGCAAGCTGAGCTCCCCCTACCCCAGCGTGCCCTCTCATAAGCAAGTCTTCTTTATGACAAGTTGGCTGTTGTCTGTGTCTTTCCTTCTGCAACAAAAAATCCTTGGTTTGATTGGAAATGGCCTGAAAGGGGTTTTTAACAGCCAAGTGATTTAGATTTCCATCCCAGCTTTGCACCTCTGGAGAGCAGGGTTCAAAGCTTGGCTCTAAGTCATGCTTAGGAAGATTTCCAGCCTGAATTCAGCCAGTCCCTTGATGTACCATGATCTGAGATAATTTTTCTCCTCCATCAAGCATCTTTTTTGTATTTCTAAGCCCAGAAAAGCCCCCTTCCCTGCAGATTTAGTTTCTGCACAAGCTATTAGAAGAGGAGGACCACACGCACAGGCTTTGCCATCCCAACCCTGTACCCTGCTTGCAGCACTGAGAACATCCCAAGAGCCGGTGTTTGAATTTGGCTGTTTTTCCTGCTTTTCTCCTAAAGATATACCTGCCAAGTTGTATTGCAGAAGGATGTGGTGACTCAGAGCAGGGTGGGAGGATTTGAGCAACTTCGCCTTGCCCGGCACCCCGAAATATATACAGCAAGCTGCTGGGGAGCAAGGTTTTTTCCATGTAGGATGGATAACAGACTAGATCTGCTGATGGAGAAGCACCATATAACGGGTAGATATTGCCCAGAATGGATGCAAAAGATGTATAACCATCAGGAGCAAGACTGGATGATAATGCTGCTGGTTCAGCTTCCAGACAGACCATCATTCATGGAGAAAAACCTCCAGCTCTTCACCTCTGCTGGGGCCATCCTCCCATTGCAACTCGATAATGAGATATTTTCCGTAAGTGCTGCCCAGGTGGCACTTTTTACGCTATATATGGGGCTTGTTGCGTTATTACGGCTTTTTTTTTTTTTTGTCTTCTCTAAGGAAGATCTTTGCAAGCAGTTGATGTATGCAAACAGGCTGGAGATAGTTGGGTTTCCTCCTGACGGAGAGCGAATTTACGCCACTGTAATTATAGCAGCAGCGTGGGAGAGAAGCGGTGCTCAAGGAAGTGCAGGCGAGCCTAGTTTCCAAATTAAACCCTTCTGCTTCTAGAAATGTGTCTGTATTTTTTTTTTTTAGAGCAGGAAACCATATCTGGGTGACTTCATGGTGGGAAATGATTTGGAGGGGGCAGGATTTGGGCACTTGGATGGTAGGGATGCTCGTGCCTCTGGGTTTGTTTGCATGGACCAGCCTCCTCCACCTCCTGATCTGCTAAAAGCTCCCCACCGCGAGAAAACAACCCAACTCTTTAAAATTGAAAGGGCTTATTTAAACAATGTTATCTCTCTTGTGAAGGGAGAGAGCATATTGAATGGTTATATTTAGTGCCGGGTGTAGGACAAAGCAGATGCAGAGAGATTTTTAACGCGGGAATGTTAATCACTTACGCCACACCGCCTTGGAAATGTGTGTGTATATATATATATATATGGTTTTTTATATATATGCAACATGCACGTGCTCAGACACCCGTGTATTTGCTGAGGATGAGGATGCGAGCTGAACATTTCTCCTTGATTTGCTTTTTGACCTTTTTCCACCCTGGAAAGCCCATTCCAGCAGGGTGAGGTGATGCAGCTCTGGGAGCTGGAGACCCCCTGAAACATGCAGCAGGAGGGATGTGCTTTGGCTCTATGGGGGTGTGCAGAGCCTCCCTGTCTTTCTACATCCAAAACAGGATGGGGATGGGAAGGAGAGCACTTTACGGGTTTGCAAATGGGCTGTTTAACAACCCCAGCAGTGCTCTCCCCGCTGGCGAGCTGCGAGGAAAGCCTACCGCATTACCCAGCCTCTATTACCCACCCTCGTGGGAGCACTGAATTAAAGGAAATATTTTATGATCCTACGCTTCGTTATGTTTTATTAAAAGCAGAGCATCGGCCTCCCCTGCCACATTCATCAGATCAGAGGCTCTGCTGGGTCTTTTTTTTCTCCTCCCTCCCAAGCACTTGCTGCTGTGGCTGTTGTTCCCAAAGCATCCGACTGCTTGGGTTGGCTTTAGGGCCAGTCTAGGGTCTCCTGGCAGAAGATGAAAATACACAATGAGGTGAAAAATGTGGCTGTTTGGTTTATTTAAGGATGCTCCATATCCAAATGGGCTTAAGGATATGGAGTCATGCTGCTGAAATAGCTGGTGGTTGCAGGAATAAGGATGGACATGGGAAAGTGGGGTCACAGGGAGATGTTGCCCCATGGAGGTGTTTGAGTCATGGATGGGCATGAGCACATCTCTGTCAAAAGATGCTTGGAAAACCCTCCCCCCATTTTTTTGGTTTCACACCATTTCAGGCCAATCAAGCCCAGGGTAGGAGGACCCCCCTGTTTTGGGGGAAAAGATCCCCCAAAAATGCCAACATCCCTTCTGCAGAGGTAAAGTAGTGAGCAAGGCTGGGAGTTTGCTATATCAGTCTTTGAGATCAGCAGCAAAAAGTCAGACAAATATTGATAGCTGGGCATATCTGGAAGCAGTTGGGAGACAGAAAGGTATTAATTAGCAGTTATTACTCAACGGTGTGGAGATGGATAGGGATTAAGGTAACAGCCATGTGCATCCTCTCTGTGAGAGCGGCGAAGTAACGGTAAATCAGTGTTATGAATCGGTGCTGTAAGAGGGAGATATTTTTTAATCTTATTAGCGGCGCGGCATTACCGAGAGAGCAAAGGGATTATTAATCATGGAGCGTAAATCGGGGAGAAGAGGGTAGCTTCAGATTAGCAATCCTGCTTTGTACAGTGAGAAGGGTAGTGGAGATGGAGGAGAAAAGGCAGCGGATGGAGGCTGAGTCAGGGGGAGGTACCAAGGGAGAGGGCAAAAAACCTGTGCCAGGGCATGAGGGTGAAGTTGGGATACGGCTGCCCCTCACCTCGGCCAAATTGGTACCTGAGAGACCTGTCTCTGGGCAGCACCAAAGCCCAGATCTGAAAATCCCTGTAGGTTATGTCTGTTATAATGTAG